GAACTTCTCTCGGCTGCCAATCTCTTCACTTCCTGTAAACTGCACGGAGGATTCATTCAAGCCGGTTCAGAGGCTGAACATGACAGTGACTCAGACGACTTTCCAAAAGGGCAAGAACGTGCATTTGCCCATCTTCAGATTCCTCTGGAGCCTTTGCCTGTGAACGTCACGATGCAAGGACTACAGACTCCGAGCTGGAACTCGGGGCCTCGGTGAAATTTTTTTACTATTTCTCGCGGAAGAACTCGGCTCCTGCTCTGTGAAATGGGCTCACGAGAGAACATTTTTACGCAGCCGTGGTTGGGAACGTGTTACGGCCAGGCCTTGGCACCGAGATGTGGGGACTGGCCGGTACCTTGCTCCTGGCCTGGCCACAGCTCGCCCGCCGCAGGGGCCGGAGTCCTCCAGCATCTCCCCTGTGACAGGGAGGCCACCAGGCAGCCAGGTGAAGTGTGATGAGAACACGGGCAGTGCCCCCACTCCCCAGCCCTCAAAACTGGTACTGTGAGCATGGCATTCAGGCCTAAGGATAACTTTTCTCAAAATATTTTTTAAAAACTACTGCTTAAGTTACAGATTATTCCAAGGGCCAGAGCCGTTACAAACTACAGACCCACCGCAGGCGGGCGGCAGCTGTGTGCCTCCTCCGGACCCGGCCCGCCGGCGGCTGCCTTTGCAGCCACCTGCTTCCCATCCCTTCAGTGCGCGTGGGGGCCGCGGGGGCGCCCCGTGGGCTGCGGGCCTCATGGCCGTGTGCGGGCGAGCGCAGACCAGGGCAGGATGTTGCCGGGGGCAGGGGCCTGTGTGGCTTCTCGTTTCCAGAAGCTTCTAGTTTCCCACGGCAGTTCTACAGAAAACAGCCGCCAGCTTTCTCCCGACCTCTCTCCCCCCGGGGGGAGCGTGCAGGTTCCTGAACCACGTCCCTGAACTGGACGCGGTTGTGAGCCCCACCCTCCCTGTCCCAACAGGGCTCTTCCGAGACGCGTGACAAATAAAACACCACCACCACACCTGCAGGAGGCGAGTGTACCGATTCCAGAGCCCTCTGGCGGGGACGCACCAATCTGTCCTCGCAGGGGCCACGAACGCCCGCTGGATTCCTTCACAGAGGGCGGGATGAGATGCTTTGCCCCAGGTCGCATCGCTGGTTTCAGGAGAGTCAGGAATTGGACCAAAGAGGTCCTGTGTGCTTTCCAGAAAAGTACAGAGTGAATTTACAACCACCGGGAACTGCGACGTTGAGAAATGATTACGACTCTACGTGAGCCTGCCTGGTGCCGAATAGGGCAAGGCACTCACTGCGCCTCCCCCGAGGCAGCATCGGGGTGCTTTTGACCCTCCCGTGTCTCCTTCTGGGTGGGGTCCTCAAACTCACTGCTCGCAGCTGCCGAGATCGGCGCTGTAAACTCCGGGCACAGTGAACGCTGGGGCTCTGAATTCAGCTCGCCTGCCGCAAATCCAGCTCTTGCCTCAGTTTCTCAAACTCCGAAACGACAAACCCACTTCCTGAGGCTGTGGAGTACTGGACGGGAACACGCAGGCAAACAGCGCTCAGTTCAGAGGCGGCGCCGAGCAGCAACAGCTGGAGCTGTCGCCCCGGCTGTCCCCCCATCAGACCGCTCATTCCGTGCACTGCAGTCTCTTTCCAAGTGACGGGGACACTGGAACCGGTCCGGGCAAAGGCTGGCTCACACAGTGCCTTGGGTTGCGTTGCTCAGCTGTTTTCAGGCTCAACAGCAACGACAGGTCAGTAGCCCCAGGTCCAGTTCCTGACCCCTCCGCCCACCTGGAGTCCCGCTCGGCTCCGGGCTCCTGCCCTGGGCCCCGGGAACAGTGGCGCCTCCCCTTCACGGATGCTCGCAGGACGGAGTTAGGGCCTCACAAATGGTCGCCGTTTTACCATGAGGATCCCCAGCCCTCACCTCCCATCTCATTCACATCTGCGTCTTCAGTGATTCTGTCAAAAAAGTCGCCTGGAATGAAAACACACCATCCTGTGTTTCCTATACTTTAAAACGGGAACAGACAGGCGGGTGGCTCTGAGGTCGCTCTGCTGGTCCCAGGGAACTGTCAGCTCAGGAGGAAGGGCATCCGCCAGCCTGCCTCCTTGGCACTTGTGCTGCGTGGCCCAGGGTCACGAGGGCTGGCCTGACCCAGAGAGGGGCGTGTCTTCACGCCCCCCAGTGGGACCCAGTTCTCTGCCCCGAGGACTGAACAACGCGCACCACGGTGTCTGAGGATTCGCGGCTCTCCCTCGGAGCGGGGGCTGGGTTTCGGGAGGTTCCCCAAAAGAAGGTACTTACAGCCTGTTTCATCTCTGCAGAAGAGTGATTCTTGTTCTACCAGAACACTGCCAACGAACTTTTTTTTCTTTTTAAAATTACTTAATTAATTAATTATTTATTTATTTACTCAATAGCAAAAATGGGTTTATTTGAGACCAGCAGAGAATTACAGTTTGGGGTCTGCTGTCATGGTGAGCGACACGATTTCAAAATGTATAACAGCCAACGAACTTTAAAATGCTGGGGCTTTTTGTTTTCTTTTGTGACACATGTACACATTCTTTTTAAACGTAAGAAAATCATTTCTATTGTCTTTTGAAAAAGCCCAGCAAATCCTGGCACACACTTTAGTTAGTATTTAACTATGTAGGGAGACAAACAATAATGACACGATTGAATAGTGAAAAAGTCCGTCTGCCTGCCAGGAGTTTTGGACCCCAAATCAGAGCACATGTAGGGCGGCCCCTAACCAGAAGAGGGAGTTAAGGTCAAACGAGGAAAAGGGTGAATGGCCAGCCAGCCACGAGTCCATCAGAAAAAAAATCAGCATTTCTGTTAAAACGGCACCCACAAAATGACACCCCATGACGCCAGTCTATGGGCAAAGCTCTGCGCTAAGTGCTAGCAGAAAGGTAACACTTTGCGACCAGCCAGCTTTTTGACAGCCAGAAGAGGAAAAAAAAAAAAAAGACAGGAGAACCAGGTCTGTTTTTCACTGAACCCAACACAAACTTGAAATGACCCTTTAAAAAGGCACAGAAAATGAGTCTTATTTTGACCACGATTACAACTTTGGACTCGGAGCCTCTCTGGCTTGGAGACCGCTGTTTCCTTCAGAGGTAAGTTATAAATTAACCAGCCCTACGTTCCTTCAAGACCAGTAGGTCTCCTGCTCTGAGATGATACGGCATGTTTTTTCCCTGGAATGATGTGTGTCCAGTTAATCATCCTCCCTCTCTGTCGTCTTTTAACTTCACCTGAACGTGTGGATACACCTGCCGCACCTCCAGCCACGTCAGTGTGACGTGGTTTCAGAGGAAGGACGCGACAGCACCCCAAGCCCTGGAGGGAGACAGAGGGGGCTGCCCGTCCACCGGCCAGCGCAGGTGCCGCCCCCTCTGGGAAGCGCAGGGCGCCTCCAGCACCCAGCTGCTGCCCCTGGGCCCAGGGTGGTGTCGGGACCCCCTCCGTCTCAGCAAGATGCTCTGCTGTAGACAAACCAAGGGGAAGGCACACGTGTAGACAGACAGCCGGGCAGACGCGCCGATGCTACCACAGGACGTCTACTTTCAGATGCTCTCCAGTGACTTAATCAGGACTTATTAGGAAATGCATTCCCTCAGCAACAGACTACGAATCCAAGTTAGGGGAGTCAAGTCACTCGGCACCCTCAGTATTTCTCCCCGTTGACGTAATTCTTTCCTACTCAGTTAAAATGCAGGTGGCACTGGAACGTGACATGAACAGAGCAAAATGATCCTGAAACCTTTCAGGGGCCATGAAAACAGGGACCAGCACTTTATCTGCAAATCATCCTGCATGAAATGAAGGGCGCGGGTTTATCAGCCAAGTGTACACACCACCTCAGAGCTGAACATGAATCTTGGAATTCACAAGCTCCTTTCAAAGGATGCCCATCGGCTGAGCCCACATCATAAATCGGCAGAGTGAGCAGCAAAGGGGCCCCTGAGCGCAAGGACGTGTGCGGTGAGGACGTCGGACCCCTGAGGCCAAGGCCACGTTTGCCTCTTTCGAGGTATTTCGAATTGAGACTGAGTCTAATTTCCCAAAGTTAAAAAAAAGTTAAGTTTCAGTGATTTTAAACATTCCAAGTCTGCTTCCAAGAGCAAGGGAGCCGTGGTGCTGAGCCGGGGGGAGGCAAGAACAGGTCATCCATGTGCCACCCTTGACTTCGCTGCGGTGGCGCCCAGCTGCCGTGCTCGGGGGCCGGCGAGGAAGAGGCGCGGCCCAGGCTCAGTGGGGCATCGCCAGCTGCTGGACTCGGCCCGGGACGCGGCCTGGGCAGGCAGGCTGCTTTGATCAAACGCGAAGGCAGCAGCGCAGATCCGCCCCAGGAGCCGCCCTGGTCCTCTCTCCCCTCCGCACCGGGTTCTCCAGTTCACTACTCCCTCACCCGCCCTGTCTGCCCCCCGCGCAGGGCTGTATAAACTCACACTCCCCGCAGCTCCTCCAGGGGTAGGAAGGCAGGACGTTTCTGCCAGGAGGGGGCGAAAGGGGCTGCGCCCACTGCCCATCCTGACTGGAACCAGGCGTGAAGGGATGAGGGCAGGGGAGCGGGGAGGAGGCGTCGCTCTTCATCCGGGACCCGGCCGCTGCGACGGCCACCAGGGCTGCGCCAGCTCCTTCCTGGGCCCGGCCGCCTGCTCGGGGGGCGTGGAGGTGAACAGCATCCAGGCCTCCGGTTGGCCCCAGTCTCCTTCTGGATTAATTCTGCCCCGTCCACACTGGACTCTAGGACTGACCACGTAAAGAGGCCACCTGAGAGAATCTAAAATCCAACAGGCGATGATTTACTCAGTACAAAAAGAACGGGGTAAGAGAAAAATTTCCAAGTTTTCTTTTCACTGATTTTATTTATATTTGGTCATTTTCACTCAGAATTCTGCCTGTCGGCTCCTCTTTCAGGATGAGACGTGCGTGTGCGGCTGCATGTGTGCATGATCCCCTAGAAACTTTATTTGGTATAACTTCACATTTTTGGTATATAGAAATAATTTTATTTTCATACAGTAGCACGGGAGACATACAATCATTATTATTTCCTAGAGTGTGCAATATATATAAATTATTCACATTAAAAAAATTAAGAACAGAAAGCCTCATATGCAGGAGGTATTTAGAAATGTGTACCTAATTCTGGGTCGATGTTTTGACAGTGTTCGTCACCAGCTTTATAAATCTGAATGGACGCGATGATGCACACTGGGACAAAGTACACACAGGGGCCACTCCAGACACTTAGCTCAGTATACGAGTAACTCGCTCTTCACTTTGGCCATTGGGATTCCAGGTACCGAGGCACATCTGGGTCTGAGAGATGCTTCCAGAAGTACCTTTATGACACTGGCGTTTTAACCATTTCTGTTTCTCCTATTCTCCTTTATAGCGAGGGGTCCTCTTCTCTTTAAAAGCAAGAAGGCCTTCAAGTCTGTCTTTTGTTGGGATAGTCTAAGAGAAACAAAACACTGTGTCATCTATGCCGAGAAGTAAAAACAACTGCAAAAGATTAACAAGCCTACGGCGCTTCTAAGGGAACCTAATTGAAAGGCAACCTAAATGGTGACGTCTAGCAGTCCGCCCCACCGTGTCAGTTATGCGAGCGTATTTATCATCCTAACTCCAAACGCTTATTGTCCCATTTTACATACACTTCAATAAAATTAAGATTTTACTTTTTAGACAATTTTAGGTCCATAAAAAAACTGAGCAGAAAGTTCAGAGTTCCCGTGTACTGCCTCCGGGCCCCCCACTGCTCCCCCTGTTATTAACATCCCCCGTTAACGTGGCACATTTCTTACCATTAATGAACCAATATTGATGCAGTATTAGTAAGTAAAGTCCATAATTTACATCAGGGTCCACTGTGTCGTATATCCCATGGATTTTGACAAATGCACAATGTCATGCGCCCACCACTGCAGCACCACAGAGAACAGAATAGTTTCACTGCCCTAAACATCCCTGATGCTCCACCACGTCACCCCTGACTCCCCACCCCGTCGTCTTCTCCAGAATGTCAACTAGTTGGAATCACATAGTATGCAGCCTCTTAGGACTGAAATCCTTCACTAAGCAACATGCAATTAAGGTTCCTTCACGTCCTTTCATGGCAGGATAGCTCTTTCCTCTTACTGATAAATAACACCCCACTGTACGGATATACCACAGTTCACCCATTCACCTAGTTGTTTCCAAGTCTGGCAATTATGAATAAAAGCGCTGTAAACACCGGTGTGCAGGCTTTTGTGTGGACATAACTGTTCAACTAATTTGGGTAAATACACAACAGCAAGATCGCTAGATCATGTGGTGAGACGCAGCTTTGTGAAGAAATGGCCAAAATTGTGGCATCTTGTTTTTCTTTGTAATTCTTAGTGACACAAGACGTGGAGCGTCTTTTCCTATAGTTATTTGCCATCTGTACATCTGTTTTGGTGAGGCATCTGTTCAGGCCTTATCCCCACTTTTTAACAGGTTCTTTTCTCATCGTTGACTTTAAAAGTTCTCTGTATGGCTTAGATACGTCCTTCATCAGGTCTGTTTTATAAGATTTTTCTCCCAGTCCACGGCTTGTCTTTTTATTCTCTTCACAGTGTCTTTTGCAGAACGGAAGTTGTTAATTTTCATAAAGTCCAACAACAGATGTTTTTCTTTCATGAATTATACTTTTGGTGTTTTTTATAAAAAGCCATTGCCAAGCTCAAGGTCTCCCAGAATTTCTATGTTATCTTCAAGAAGTTTTATAATAAAGTTTTTCATTTCACATTTAGGTCTATGACCCATTTTGAGTTAATTAAAACACATTAAAACTTTATTTATATATATATATATTACTGAAGTATAATCAGTTTATAATATGTCAATTTCTGGTGTACAGCACAACACCTCAGTCATATAGGAAAATACATACATTTGTTTTCATATTCTTTTTCACCGTAAATTACTACAAGACATTGAATATGGCTCCCTGGGCTAAACAGTGATTTTGAGTTAATTTTTGTGGAGATTCATTCCTTTTTTTTTTTGGCAATTGACTGTCCGGCTGCTGCAAATGAAGACAGTCTTCATTTTCAAGACTATCTTTCCTCCACTGAATTGCCTTTGCTCCTTTGTCAAAGACCAGTTGACTATTTTTGTATGAATCTACTTCTGGGCTCCCTATTCTGTTCCACTGATCTGTTTGTTTTTCCTTTCGCCAGTACCACACTTCCTTGATTACGGCAGCTTTACAGTAAGTCTTGGAGCCAGGTAGTGTCACTTCCCCAGTTTTGTCCTTCTTCAATACTGTGCTGGCTAATCTGGGTCTTTGGACTTTCCATATACACTTCAGGATTGGTTTGCAAATATTAACAAAGTAACTTGCTGGAATTTTTATTGGGATTGCACTGAAGCTATGATCAAGTTGGGAAGAAGTGACATCTTAATACTATTGAATCTCATCATCCATGAATATGGGCTTTCTCTCTATTTATTTAAATTATTTCTTTGTAAAGTTATTTCTTTATTAAATTCTTTGTTTTTTTTATCAGAGTTTCGCAGTTTTCCCCCTATAGATCTTGTACATATTTTGTTAGATTTATATCTAAGCATTTTTTGTGTGTGACCTAATATAAATTATGTTGTGTTTTCAAATCCCAAATTCTTCACTGCTGGTACACAGGGAAGCAACTGACTTTCGTATATTAACCTCGCGTCGTGCAATCTTGCTCTGCCTGCTTGTTAGTTAGTTACGGTGGGTTTTTGCTGTTGCTGTTGATTCTTTGGGATGTTCTACATGGACAAGTACATCACTTACAAACAGCTTACATCTTCCGTCCCAATCCGTATATCTTTTATTCCTTTTTCTTGTCTTATTGCATTAGCTAGGACTTCTAGTAGATGCTGAAAAGGAGTGATGAGGGGGAACATCCTTGCAATGTTCCTACTCATTAAGTAGAACACCTGCAGGTTTTCTGTAGAAGTTCTTAAAAAGTTGGGGAAATTCCCACCTAGTCATAGTTTGCTGAGCTGAGAGTTTTTATCATGAATAAGCATTGAATTCTGTCAAATGCTTTTTCTGCTTGTTAATACAATCATACGATTTTTCCTGTTTAGCTTGCTGATGTGATGAATTAAATACATTTTTGAGTGTTGAGCCAGACATGCAAATTGGGGAAAAAAAGTCTCACTTGGTTGTGGCATATAATTCCTTTTATACATTGCTGGATTTGGCTTGCTTATAATATATGTATTTATATATATATATGTTTTGGTTTGCTAACATTCATGAGAGGTAATGTTCTGTAGTTTTCCTCTCTTGTAATGTCTTTAGTTTTGTTACCAGGATAATACTGTCCTCGTGGAATAAGTTAGGAAATGCTCCTTCTGCTTCCAATGTCTGGAAAAGACTGCAGAGAATTGGTATAATTTCTTCCTCAAATGTCTGGTAGAATTCACCAATGAGACCACCTGGGCCTGGTGCTTCCTGTTTCGGAAGTCTGTTACTCACTGCTGCAACTTCTTCGACAAACAGGACTATCCAGATGGGCTATTTCTCCCTTGGTGAATTTTGGTATATTGTGTCTTTCAAGGAATTGATCCATTTCCTCCAGGCTATGAAATTTGTGAGCACATAGTTGTTCACAGCATTCCTTTATTTTCCTTTCAATGTCCATGGGATCAGCAGTAATGATCTTTCCTGTATTTCTGATGTAATTTTTATCTGCTGCCTTTTTTCCTTGATTAGCCTGACTGGAGACTGTCGATTTCATAGATCTTTATGAAGAGCCGATCTCTGGTTTTGCTTTTTATCTGTTGCCTGTTTTCAGTCTCACTGCCTTCTGCTCTGAGGCACTACTGACAGCCTTCTGCTGACTTTGAGTTGAATCTGCTCTTCTTTCCCCCACTCTCACTAAGGCAGAAAGTGAGCACCGATTCCAGACCTTTATTCTTTTCTGACACACGCGTTCAACGCTATAAATTTCTCTCAAAGCCCTGTTTGTGATGCATTCTCACAAATTTTGATAAGTTGTATTTTCATTTTGATTTAATTCAAAATGTATTTTAATTCCTCCTGAGGCTCCCTCTTTGACACACATGTTATTTAGAAGTGTGTCGTTTAACCTTACTAAAAAGGTTACTTCTCACCATCAGTAGGTGGGATTTTCCACCTATCTCGCTGTTACTGACTTCTAGTTTAATTCCACTGTGGTCTGACAGAACACTTTGCATGATTTCTGTTCCCTTACACTTGATAAGGTGTGGCCAGATATGCTTTTAAAATTTTTCTTCAAACGCTGAGGTTGTCCATGTGTAAGAGGCTTGTAATTTAGTTCATCCATGGCATGTGCTCATCAATGACAGGTGGTAATTTACATATACAGACCAGGCGCAGAGCACTCTCTGGCTACTGCTCCTAATTTATGATGCTGCCATGCCTAAGTGGGAGCTGACACCGTTTCCAATTCTCAGGAGAGGGAGAACAAAATTCTTCTGCTACTTTAGGTGCCCTAAAACAAAGTTATGTCCTCCATTTAAAAAAAGGATGGAAGAAAGGAAGGGAGGAAGGAAGATTTGTTCCTCTACAGAAAGCCGTATTCATTTGTGTACAAAAAAGAAAACTGTATACATAATTGAACGAGTGAACTTTCAGGGTCGGAGGAGAGGCTCAGAACGTTGGGAAAAGCCAATGTGTCTCCAACACCAATGTTTCCCAGCAGGCACGTGCTCACTGCCGCCTTCTTCTCACCTCTCCACGCTGGGGTGAGGGTTCAAGGCCACACACCCACAAAACACAGTATGAGTCAGAGAAACAGCTACAGCATGAATGGGACTAACTTAATTATTCTAAGAGTTTTCTGAACTACAGAGGCAGGAGTCATCAGCATGGGCAACAGGATCAGTGTAAGAGCTGGTAACAGTCAAACAGCAGAAACAAGTAATTTTAACTCATCTGTATGATTCCAGGTTAGGCCTGAGTGCAGCCCTGCTCAGTGATCCATAATGCAGCTGACTCACACGGAGGGAAGGGCTGTCCTCACTGAACGTGCGGCTGTGTGACATACCTGAGCGTAGCACGCTTCTTCTATGGCTAATCCCGTGACCAGATCGACCTGAGGATAAAAGGGTAAGTCGTTTCAGCAAGAAGCACTTTTAAAAATACAGTATCCTCAATATACACATAAATTCAAGCTCAATAATCTTATTCTAAAAGAACAGTCTCTTTCAGTGTAATCAGAAGTATGACCAGCATGAGAAACTCTGGAGCCAGGCCGCCTGGGTTCAAATTCTGACCCCACCACGCGGGAGCTGCGAAACCCTCCCACACGGCTGCAGCCCGGGGGGGGGGGGGGCTCTGAAGAAGGGGCTAATTATAGGAGGTACCAGCTGGGGTTACCGCGAGGGTCGAATGAGTTCTTCTAGGTCAAGTCTTCATGAAGTACAATTTATATATATATGGTCTGGCACACAGTAGGGTCATAGCGGGTCTTTGCCATTAATATTGTTACTGCTATGTAAGAATTTTTTAAAAAAACAATCAAATACTTCGTAAATGAAAAATACATATTTATTGCTAATGAATTCAACCTCCTTTAACGCTGTGGGGGCCACGAAGATACCATGGCCTCCGGGTCTGCGAGGAAGAAGTATCTTCCTTCAAAATGCTCAGAATATTCAAAGCTTCTTATAATAATAAAAAGCCCCGTGTAAGGGGGAGGGTAGAGCTCGGTGGCAGAGTGCCTGCTTAGCGTGCACAGGGTTCAATCCCTGGCGCCTCCATTGAGTAAATAAACCTAACTACCGCCCCCTTCCCTCAAATAAACAAAAGGAATTGGAACAAAAAGCCCAATGTAAATGCGCACCCGCATCACCCCCTTGCCCTGCCTCCTCCTCCCCCGGCCTGGGACCTCCACCCCTTCGGAGCCACCTCTCCGGGGTAACCCGGGCCGCTACAGGGCTTGTGTGTGTGTCCTGCTGCAGAAAGCACGCGCAGGACTTACAGACGGTCTCCAGCTTTAGGAGGAGCTTTGAGTCAGGAGGCTCTCCTGGGGACAGCACTTTATAATACGATACTGGTGCTGAGAACACACAGAACGCCCCTTTCCTTTGGTTCCCTATGAACTACTAGCCAGTAAACCGGTCCACGAACTCAATGGCAAAGTCAGCGGGCGTCAGTGAGGTAACTGAATTCCGGGACCATGATCCTGAAGCAGAGCAGCTACAGGCACAACGAAATCAGTGATGCAGCGAGAAGGAGCCGCAGACGCTGTCAGTAGCAGCTGCAGTGAAACAGCTCTACCTCAGACTATTAACAAAATAATGGTTCACGTCAGTTAAATCTCCACCACCTATTCCAACAAAACCCCCAAGCCTAAGGCACTCACCTCCATCCCTTGATTAATTGCTAACTTTGCCACTCTCATTGCCACAGGGCCCTAAAATGCAAACAGGTTTTAATTATTATTTATGCAAATCATGTTGTACATCTCAGTAAAATTCAGGAATTCCCTTTGCTGGATCCATGGCATAGAAGCAGCAGTGGTTGTAAGACAGTGGATGGAAGTTTTATTTTCGGAGATTTGCCAGGTCTTAAGGAAACAGCAATGGTCACATTCTGTTGCAGCAGCAGGTGACCCGGAGTCCACAGCACGCTGTGACACAGAAAACTGCATGCAGGTGGTGTGTGTCCAGCAGAGGGCTTTTCCCTGTTCAGCAAATCTCCTTACAAGTTAAGCAGGAAAAAGGAGATAAAGAGCTTGGCTCAGTACCACACCCATCAGTGTAGACAGAAGCCGGCGAAGGGGCCGACCTACTGACTAACGAGGGGCTCAGGCAGCATCCGTTTCGGGCACTGGATCTGTAACTTTCTTCCCTGGGCATCAGTAACCAACCACGATGACACCTTATTAAGAAGTGTCCTCCCACAGCACACAAACGCTCAAGGTCCAAATAGGTCCTTCAGGACGTGTGAGGGTCACAGAGGGAAAAACCGAAGTCCTCTGTGAGAAGGGACACATTACTTCTGTCTTAGAAAACCGCCATCCTCCAGATGGAATCCGGTTATTTGATCACATTTTAAATTCCTGAAAGTTGTTTACGGGTGATGAATCAGAATTCAATGGCACAGTTTAAAGCGTCTTTTGAATTAAAATGCAAGAGGCTATGAATAAGAAACACAGCAAAGGACTCCAGGAAGTGAATGGATAAACGCACAGCGGCAGGAAAAAACGCCTTTCTTCCCTGTTCGGGGGTTTTGGTTATCAGTTTTCACCTACCCAAATCCTCTTCCTAAATCACGTGCTGAAAAACCTTTCTCAGAGGCGGCAATCTCCTGAGGCTTAGGCACGGATCGTAATTAGAATTCTTCCAAATGTGATTTGTATGTTTGTATGTATGGTCTACACTGCCATTTGTTTGTTGGTTTGTTTTTAAGACCGTCAATTCAGGTTTGTAAACAGAGTGCCCCTCTCAATGGGAATCTTACCCATTCACTTTTATCACCAGCTGACCCAGACAGGGTGCTTGCCATGTGCACACACAGCCCCAAGCCCCTCGTTAAAATGGAGGTGAAGATTCGGGGGTCAGGGAGGGGCCTGGGGAGTCCGCACATCTAACATGCCCCCCCAAACTGCTAGTGCACAGACCACACGTAGCAAGGTTTAGAAATCTGGAAAAGCAGAAAGATGAAAATGCTATTAAATATAATGTTTATTTGGTTAACTTCCCTTTCAAAATATAAAACCAGTGCCTCTTCTACATGTACAAACCTTTTTTCTCAGAGAGGAAAACGGAAGTAACACATGATGCCAGAATCACCTAGAAACATTAATTTTACAGAAGCTTTCTAATTATTTGGAAGAGTAATCATTCAGAAACAAACCCTGTAAAAACAAAGATTATTCCACTTCAAATGCTGTTTTGTAATTTTTGCATAGAGTTTCGAAGTTACACATTTTCCGAAGTCATCTGACATTTCCCTTCACCTGGGGAAAAGTTAATTTTAGCAGTGAACGTCCTCAGAGGCACGGCCCTCAGAGGACAGGGGCGACGAGCGCAGCCTGGCTCACCACGTGGCGCGGCTAGATGTCAGGCTGGAGGTGGGGTGAGCTGTGGGCGGTGGCGGCATTAATGGCACTGCTGTCACAGGAGAAGGGCCAGTTCCCAGGAGTGAGGAAAGGAATGTGAACCACAGAGATGCCAAGGGGCTAATGAGCCACTTGGGTGGGGCTCCGGAACGCTCACATCCAAGGCCCAGGGGAGGCTGCGAGTCTCGGAACCGGAACTACGCCACAACGTGCCTTAAATACACCCCTTTACGTCAGCTGAGACGTGCACTGCTCGTACATTCTTAAGCCAAAGGAGGTCATTAAACCTTACAGAGTTGAACTGTTACTTCTACTGACATTTGCATCTTTAATCTCTCTTTAGGTAGATGTTTCCTTAATATTTTGAAGAAATAGTAAAACCACAGTTACAGTGGGAGCTTTTTTCCCCCTTAAAATAGTGAAAGTCAAATTGCGCTCTACACTGGAAATTGACACACCATTGTAAACTGACTACAACTCAATAAAATAAAACTTAAAAAAATAGCAGACGTCTTTTTACTTGCCCCCTCTCCACCAAGTCAGAGTATAAGGCTCCGTACTACCTCCCAATGAGGCATACACTATTTAAGGGCCCCCACCTTAGAAGAGCTTACAGCTCAAGCACGAGCTGAGAAGGGCTGACACCTCGCATCAGCGCCAGGCAGCGTGGTTTTAGAAGCCAACAAACGCGAGGCCCCGTCCGGCAGCTCTCGGGGCAGGTATGTCACAGCAGACCTGGCCTCTGACAACAAAGAACTCCCAGACCGCCTTCTAAAACGGGATGCAAACCTCCGAACGAACGTGGGAGGGGGTACGCATTTTTCTAGACAGAGATTTCATGAGACGCCCAGAAGGACCCACGGCCCCAAGACACGGTACAAAACCTGTTTGAGTTACAGAGGATGTAATTTTGAACCCAGAAATGCTTAGGGGGTTATGGAACGTTATACTCCGTCAGGAGTAAACACAAGCCACTAATTGTTTATACAGCGAAACTCGCTTAATCCAGGATTTCAGAAGAAGGAAAGATTTGAAAAACACTCCTGAAAGAGTGAAAGACCCAAGAAACCACTGAAACAGGACGCTGGGCGCGCGGCCGCTGCTGTCACTCGCGTGGGTCGGACCTGCGCGCGGGCGCGGCGAGTGGACGGACAACCGGGGGCGTCCGGGCGGGGCGGCTCTCGTTAAGGGGTCTCCGCAGAAGCTCGCTTGGCACAGCCGACTGTGGGCTCCTAACGCACTTGTGTCTCCGTGCGTTTCAGCTCGGGGCGGGGGGGCGCGGCGTGACAGCCCATCACCGCCTCTCTCCACGCGCACAGCTCAGGTCAGACGGGCCTCGCTGGTGACCAGCGCGCGCTGCCCGGAGGCTCTGTCCCGATACGTGCGTCAACTACACCGTCAGCGTCCGGCTGCCGCAGGGGCCTCAGATTCCCTTCAAATCTCAATTTTAATTCCGAAGGCTCCTGATATTAACCCAGTATGCGATCTCTAGTTTCACAGCCTCCATGAACCTCTCGACTTGGAAAGCAAACCCAGGGGTGTGAGATGATCGTTGGTCTCGTCAATTTGCTCTAAAGTTATTTAAAAAGGCAGAGAGAGAAAAGAAAACAAGGAAATGTAATTAAAATACCTGAGGTAAAAACTCCCTTGCCAGGTCCAAGGCCTTTCTGTAGGCAGCGTCCCCCTCCTGGTTCTGTTCCAGAACGTGGCTGATCAAGCCCACTGCTTTGGCTTCCTGGCCATCGAGCACACGGGCAGAGAAGATGAGCTCTTTGGCCAAGGACATCCCAATGGCACGTGGCAGTCGCTGCGTCCCCCCTGCAGGGCGGATGGGAGAGAAAATGGAGGCAGCGATCTGATACCCATTACTTCGAACATTTCAATGTTTCACTTCTTTTAAAAAAATAAACCAGAGTCAGAAGCTTGTACGTCAAAGTAACTGGAAAACTACTTCAAAACTGAATCTAATTTCTTAGCTTATAAAATTACTAACACCCAAAAAGCACGTTAAGAATCTCGGATCGTTACTAAGTGATTTTGACGCTGGCCATTCCTTGCAACATCATAACAGTGTCCTCTTGAATCCCATCCACCATCATTATCATGTCAGGAACCAGAAGATGCCCCAGCACCGGGGGGAAAGCTCTTCTCTCCCTTGGCCCACTCACCAGAGGAATGACACGTCCACCAGGCTTAGTGTTTCTCTCTCTGTTTAGATAAAACATCAAATTCTGAGAAATCTAACTCGTGTGCTTTTTAAAAACTCATTTATGGTAAATGAACTGTGAACTAATTTTACTTTAATGAAAATTAGGGAAAAAACACCAGATAATTACTCATGAAAATAGGCTTTGTCTGGGGGTTTTATTCTTCACTGCAAGTACTAATCGTCCGCCGACACCCTGATCCATTAGGGCCACCTATCTGTCAGCATCTTTGAGTGACGTGCCTGGGACCTCATTCAATGGAAAGCTGGACCAAAGCAGGGAATACTCTTGTTGGCAGCTTCAATTCCTGCCAATAAGAATATGAAAACAGCTGCAGATCTCAAATCTTATCCTTAAATCTTATTCTTAAAGTGGCGGCTGGGCGGCCCAGGAGGCCAAGGAAAGGCAGACTGCTAAGGTTCAGAGGAGAAAAAGAAAAAGCAAACTGATGGCCTGTAACCTGACTGAGCTCACAGTGTTCTGTGACCCATAAAGTTTTTCATTTTACCTTGTTTTTTTACTGAAGTACAGTCAGTTTACACTGTTGTGTCAATTTCTGGTGTACAGCATAATGCTCCAGTCACACATGAATATACATATATTCATTTTCAGATTCTTTTTCACCATGAGCTACTACAAGATACTGAATATAGTTCCCTGTACTGTACAGTATAAACTTGTTTATCTGTTTTATATATACCAGTCAGTATCTGCAAATCTCGAACTCCCAATTTATCCCTTCCCACCCACTTCCCCACTGGTAACCATAAGTTTGTTTCCTGTGTCTGGGAGTCTGTTTCTGTTTTATAAGTAAGTTCATTTGCCTTTTCTTTTTTTTAGAGTCCACATATAAGGGATACCATATGGTATTTTTCTTTCTCTTTCTGACTTACTTCACTTAGAATGGCAGCCTCCAGGTCCATTCATGTTGCTGCAAATGGCATTATTTTATTATTTTTTATGGCTGAGTAGTATTCCATTGTATAAATATACCACAGCTTCTTTATCCAGTCACCTGTCAATGGACGTTTAGGTTGTTTCCATATCTTGGCTATTGTAAATAGTGCTGCTATGAACATTGGGGTGCATGTAGCTTTTTGAATTAAGGTTCCCTCTGGATATATGTCCAGGAGTGGGATTGCTGGATGAAGTTTAAACTTTTTTTTTCTACGTTAGTTATCAACATTTAAAAAGGGGGTAGCTGATTTCTTATAAAAACCAATTTCCACCCGCAGCTGTTCCTTTTAGATGCAATGGACTCTAGCTGGCCACAACCTCTTCCATTCTCTATGACTCCAACACTTTAGAGATTGAGAAGTTTTAATTTCCTTTAAGCAACTTTCAAACGAAGGCAAAATCTTTTCTTTTTCACATCTCAGCCAAACGTAGTGGGGGCAGGGAGACAAGTTTCAAGAAAGCGTATTTCCCTTCAGTAATTAAGTATATTCCTACATGTTTGACAAGGAAAGACGCCAGCATTGGAAGAGCATAGCTTACTTACGATGCTGTTATTCAAAAACCATGTTGAGAAGCATGCCCGTGTTTATAAAATATAGGTGATTAAACAAAGAAACAAACATACCTCAAAAGGACTGACAGTTCTGAACAGGGATTGCCATTAACCATAAATAAGTACCACTTCTGTAAAGTGCAGTTCTATATTAAGTGTTTACACTGCCCGAGTAGTTAAGAGATGATAAGTTTATAGGTATTTTATGTAACATGACAAAAAATGTGTATCTGAAAAAAAAATGAAGTGCTGACAAATTTAAATCAAGCTGTAAACAGTGATGTTCAGTGTGGTGAAGATCGGGGCTGAGAGCTTACGGGACAAGCTGCATGAAAGAGAAATTATTTATGTTGTTTCCAAAGGCAGCTGATTAGAACAGGGATGTAAATGGTACAAACCAGGAGCTATATTTACTCAAGGAACTATGACAATTTTCATGAGACCAAAGAACCTGCGGGTAAGGGTAGTCGCGATGAGCACATTAGCAAATGATCCTCTGCTGTGTCCTGTGAAAAGTTTAGGGGAGATTGGTCAAAACTAATAATGTGACCCTCATCGGTCATTCGTAGTGCTTTTATGCAGCTGAAACTCAGTATTTTGCAAGTCCACATAGCTTAAGCCCATTCATCACGTTATATTCTGTTTACAGTATGATTCTCCAGGAATGAAGATTTTGTAAAAATTTAACAAAGGGAACAGTCGTGAAACTAGCACGACGAAACAGAGCCGGATGGCACAAAACGCTACGCTCTGCTCCGTGAAATGGACACATCACCCGCCTGCCTGCCGAAGGACATGACGTGAGGGTGAGAGGCAAGGGGCTGAAGAAGAGGCACTTCTGTTCTGTTGAAAACGGCCCATCACGGCACCCAAGGGAAGATGCGCAACTTGGCTCATCAACTAACGCTGAATCCAAGACTCGGCTTTTTGGGTTGACGTCACAAGCTACCCACTCTAGGGACCTCGTGCTAAGCGCAGTCACACAGTGTTTGTCCTTTTGCGGCCGGCGGTCTTCACTTAGCGTAAAGTCTTCAAGGTCCACCTCTATCGTAGCATGCGTCAGAATTTCATTCCTTTGTAAGGCTGCATAATACTGCATTGTATGAATACGCTATGTTTTGTTTATTCATTCACCTGTTGATGGACACCTGGGTTGCTTCCACCTTTTGGCTATGATGAATAATGCTGTTATGACTGTGTGTGTAGAAATTTCTCCTCAAGGCCCTGCTTTCGATTCTTCTGAGTAGATACCCAGAAGCTGGACTGCTGGAACATGTAATAAACCCGTGTTTAATTTTTTGAGGAACCAGCAGCAGCACCATTCTACATTCCCGCCAGCAGGGCACAAGTGCTCCAATTTCTCCACGTTCTCGCCAACACTTGTCATTTTCTGCTTTTGTTTTTTTTTGGGGGGGGGTGATGATGGCGATCCTAACGGGTGTGAAGTGGTTATCTCACTGCGGTTTTTGATTTGCATTTCCCTAACAACTAGTGATGCTGAGCAACCTTTCATGTGCTTCTTGCCATTTGTGTATCTTCCTGGAGAAAAGTCCGCTTAAGCCCTTTGCCCATTTCTCACTCGGGTCGTTTTGTTGCTGAGTTGTGCAAGTTACAGCCATTTTCTCCCAGTCCACGGGCTGCCTTTTCACTCTGTTGATAGTAGCCTTGGATGCACGCAAGTTTTTAATTTTGATGAAATCCAATTTATCTGTTTTTTTCTTTTGCTGCCTTTGCATTTGGTGTTGTAGCCAAGAAATCAACAAATCCAATGCCATAAGTTTTTCCTCTGTTTTCTTCCGAGGGTTTTGTAGTTTCAACTCTTACACTAAAGTATTTGAACCATTTCGAGGTAACTGTTGAACGTGGTGTACAGTGAGGGTCCAACTTCATTCTTTTGTGGGTAGAAATTGTTTCCCCCACACTACGTCAAAAGGCGCATTCTTGAACACTTACAGAAGTATGTAATTTAATTTGCTCATTCTTACCAAAACTTTATCTTTAGGAAACCTGTTTGGTAAGAAATGATCGGGCCCGCTTTCATACGCAGCAGTCAGTCTGCGGAAATCAAAGGCTGGCAGTCACAACTACTATTTTCACATTTAAGGAATTAGAGGTAACTGACCCCCTACCAGCCCCGGCATATGAAACTTGTGATTTCAAACTTTATAAAAATGCTCAGTGAGCACTGCTACTGTGAGCAAAGAGCTGTACAAATGCAAGCTACTGAACTGCCGTGAGAGATGACACGAAGAACTCCACGTGACTGGCGTGGGATCACAGACTCCTCCGAGCGTCTCGGAACAGCTGTTCCACGTGGGAAGTCTTTTCACGCCGACATTCTGGTCCAGTTTGGAAGTACTTCTGCTTACGAATAGCTATTTTCTATGATGAAATAAAGCAAAACTTAACACTACTGCTCATTAGGGAAGCAAGGTTCAGTGTAGCATCGTGTCCCGCAACCTGAGAGACAAGATGTACCGCTGGGCGTCGTGGGGAGGAAAAGGCGTCAGATCGTTAAAGCTCCAAATACAAAAAGGAGTCTAGTACTCTCTCTAGAGAGTCTAATTCTCTCTAGTAGAGAATTTCATCTTTTATTAATTCTGAATATTAAATCCCAGTAATTAGCTTACAGTTAGGTTTAAAAAAAAAGTGAAGCCGGTGTGTTGTATTTCTGTCAGTTGCTTTTCTTACACCAGGCTGACTTCATTTGATCACACAACCCACTTAGTTCCAAGAGGGATCTGAGTTCAGGATCACTAAAGCGCCCTGTCTGGATACGGTCTGGGGGGAACGGAGAAATCAAACAGTGGAATTAAAAATAAGGATGTCCCCGGTGGGATTAAAACTGTTCTGCTCTGACAGCAGCCCTAATGCATTCAAAATCACACGGGTCTGGGATGCGACTCAAAGCTGCGGTACTGTCCATCCCAACAGCGTCCAGCCTGGAGCCCCGACTCCTGGTCGCGCCCGCTCTGAGACTCACAGAGTTTCAGTAACTTGTCCGAACCCACAAAGTTAGGCTGTAGAAACAGGATTCAAACCTACCTCTGCCTGAATCTTATCTACCATGCGGTAAGAAAGTAAAGAGCAACTTATGAGATAAATTCATGGCCTGAGTTTATTTTGTAAAATAAAAGGCATGTCCGTGGTATACGTAAGCAG